CACTTCAGGCACATTCACAACAGTTTTCATCAGCTTCCTTGCAAGATTTTATTGGCACAAATGATCACAGGAAGCAAACTTCACGCTGAAACTGTTCTGCTCACCTCTGAAGGGTAAGTTCATTAGGAAGGATTAATTGGATGAAGGCATTATCTCTTTGAGCGGTCTTTTTCATGTCACCACTTAATAATGCTCAGTCTATTCAAGCCAACTCAGGAGTGCAACTTTTCCCTGTCACTCTGAATAGGCAAAACTCCACCCTTTTTTGTCAACTATTTTTACTTCCTTTGTAATGAAACAACTGCCCCTTACTAAATGATCAAAAGAAGATAAATGTTACAGCAGAGGGCAGAAAATGAGGTGCAGGAGGTTCAAAGGACATGTTAAATCTGCTGATTGACCTGCTTTTGCTCAGTGAACTTACCTGTGAGCATCTCAACTCAGATGTGCAAGGCAGCCGCGTGCAATGCTGTGTTCCAGAGCCCTGCAGCATCTGGGACCAATTTCTGCCTTTAACCAAGAGCTTTAGTGACTTTTGGGGCATTGTGAGGCCCTCTGCACGTTCATCAGTGAATGACAGCCTGCAGGAGAGATGCAGGACAGCACATCTTCCATAAGCATCTAAAAGCTTTTCCTCCTGTTGAGGCCATCTGACACCATCTCTACTGAGCGCTGGGAAGATTTAGAGAATTTGCCTTTGCTGTTAAAGGGGAAAAAAGGAAAATAAAGGCCTCCCCTGCCTGTCAGAGGGGTGTCCCTCCATCTCTGCATCCCAGCAGGGACATCTGAGCCCTGATGGCAGTGATGGGGGCTTGCACAGGTGAGAGGTTTGCTGCAGGCTCAGTGCACCGGGGACATTTCAGCTGACCAAAACACATTTCTTTCCAAAGACCAGAAATGCAAGCAAGAAAAAAAATCCTTTGGTCTGTTCTGCATTCAGTCCTGATCCAGACATGCTGCAAGAGCTTGAAATGCAATTAATAATGTCAGGCCCTTTTACACTTCTAGAGAAATTATTTATTATGACTATTGTATTGGCATGGCACTTATCACCTCAGTAATAAAACCTCTCACTTGCAGTAATGGATCCAGCCCCATGACCTGCCTGCAAGGAAAGGAAGGTTTTAAAGATGGAAAACTGGTTCCAAGCAAGATGAAGTGATCATGGCCAGCCTGGGAAAACCCATGGCAGGGCCCTGTGGAAATACAGATACCCTGGGAACAGGGGAGGCCCTCAGTTTACAAACATTACCCTTCCTTTGCTTTCTCAGACTTCAGTGTTTCTCTGCTCAACAGCCAGATCAGAGATTTTGAACAGCAGATTATCTCTGAAATAATTTCTAGCTTGATTTTGGAATCAGAAGGTGACAGTTTTGCAGTCAGGGTGTAAATGAAAATTGGCCAGATGATCCTCATAATAAAATAAAATTATATTTAAAAAAGGAGATATCTTTCACCAAGATAAAAAGTGACTGTGCAGAGGTATTGAAATGGATTTATTTGTTGGGGTTTTTTTGCAAAACACTTGGAAAGAAATCAGGGAAATGAATGAGGAAAGGTAAGGAGGAGGGATGACTGCCTGGATGCAGTCCTCAGCACAGGAGGTCCCTGACAGACAGGTTTCCAAGAGGCAGGGGAGGGTGGAGGAAATATCATAAAGATATGGAATATTGCCTATTTTCTACATTGCTTACTTTCCTTCCTTCCCTTGAAAGTACAGGATTCTGGTCAAAGAGGAATTTTTGTCTAAGCCTGAGTGAAATTTTATATATTCCTATGCTTTCCAGGGACTGACAAATATATAAACAACACTCCAGTATCAGTAGAAAGGCTAATTATGTTTAGAAGCAATTTGTGGCCGAGAGATGAAACTGGAAGATTTATTTAAATTCCCACCAAAACAAGAATGAATTTGGGGACTGTATTAGCTGGGGGTTAGGGGGAGTAAAATACAGCTCTCCCATACAGCAAAGCAAAAATTTCCTCTCCAATTAACCCCTTTACCTGGCCTTGTACTATAGGTTATACTAATGCCCTCAATTTAAAATTTTAAGGCATCAGAAATAAAAAACATTAAGCAGTGGCCCAGGGATAATTTACACTAAGTGCAGAGAAGGCAGGCTCTGGCAGTGCTTGTTGTTTTAGGATATTTGTAATGGGGTGAGAGGCTCCCAGTAAAACACACAGAGGAGCTTTGTGTCACCTGAGGCTCTGAAGAGAGAAATCTGCATTAACATTTGGCAGGAATTGCAAGTGAGCCAGGACCAAGGCTGGCCATGACCCTACATCTTCTGAGCATGAGAGGAAAGTTTTCTTTAATTTGGCTGCTTTGGGATGAGGCTGTGGTGGGGAAATGCTCTGCCAGACAAGGAAGCAAAGCCTTGGAGACAAGATGTAAGAATTAAATAAGCTCAGGAAGAATGTCTAGGTCAAAACTGGTATTTCTGATATTATTGTTTTTATGTATAAAAACAAGTCCTGGCACAAGGGAGTAAATTTGGGTGAATACATTTGAGTCTGAAGGTTATTCATGGGTGAGCTGTTTGATTCTCCAGTGTTAATTCTGCTTTGTGTTGCATCATAGGAGTCACAAAGATGTCTTTGTATCCCAGAGTGGATAACAAATAGAATTGGAGAATGACCTATAGCTGATAGTAAACAAGGGAGAAAGTCTATGAGTTAAATTTACCAAACCTGCAGAAAGAACTCTTTTCTGAATTTCCTCAAATAACATCCCATTTCCCCAAATAACAAATGACATGACAAAACAATGTCAACATTAATCTGCATGGAAACATCTGTAAATCAGGATCTTGGGGACTGTGCAGCACTGAAAGTGTGTTAGCCCTTCTTCCAGAAATAATAAAATCAAAACATTTCCCTTCTGGACGAGCACTTTTGATACTTTTTAAAGTAAACCCACTCTTAGTCAGGGAAGCACTGCAAAGTGTTTGCAGAAGCAAGGGGCTGGTTTTGTCAGAGGGAGGTGAATGGCAAAGTGCCTGTGGAGTTAAATCCTAAAGAAAACAGCCACTGGAGCAATGAGCTGTAATCTTCCTTAATCCATAATATCAGCTGTTGACAGATACATACAGAGTGATTAATAGGATGCTAAAAAATGTTAACAAAGCAGTAGAGACTTAGAGACCGCTCTGAAAATTTCCTTATCACACTTATATATTCACCAGAGGAACCATCATTACAATGTATGACAAAACATATGTTTTCTCTAGCAATTTGCTGGCACGTCTAATCAAACGTGTCATCAGAAGTGGGGAGTGGAAATTAAACTCCTTTTCTGCTCTTCCCTGTTCCTTCTCAGAGATGAGAAGAAAAACCCCACTGGGATTCTGCCATCTCCCATGTTCCACAAACCCTCCTCAGGCACGAGATCTTTCCAGCTGGAGTTTCTGCTCCAAACATTTATCTTGGAGGGATTTGTTTCTTTCTTTATTTATTTGTTGTTAACAAGGAATTGAAGGAGAATGGGGGATGAGCAACGTATTCTCTGCCTAAGAGGACTCTCACCATTTAGCAAGATTTAAGTTTCTGTTGAGACTTCAGTAAGGGAGGGGAGTGACTACAAGGAGTGATGCTCGAAAATAAAGGTATTTCAGACTTGGATTAGATATTCATCCTCAGTCTAGAGGACGTGATCTTGAAAAAAATATTCAGTTTAAAAAGCAGGATGATAAATACCTTTCTAGAGTCTTTCTAGGAGGTTATTATTCCTAGGAAGGCCTTTATAAGCTCCAAAAATGTGATCACAATCCTACATGCTTGATATAAGCCTCAACAGATTTCTGTGGGAAAATGTTCAAGGGAGAGGGAAAAAAGTTCAGTCTCTTTATTTTCCCCCCTACTGAGATTAAGTATAATCTTTGTAGTATATGCTCCAGTATTTTTCTGGGCTTGTTTTTTAATGAGATTATTCAGAAATCAGCTCCTAGATTTTGCAGTTCCCATGCTACCTTCATTCCCCTGATGATATTCATGAGTAGAGAAGGCTTAACACTTCAAAGGCAAACCATTCAGTCCCCAAGACTGCATATAGGCCCAGTAAAACTAAAATTATCCATCCTTGATGTTGTAAAGTCTTGTTCTCTATAGCTCCTTTTTAGGGGACTGTAACACAACCAGAGCTGTGCGTTGAAATGGGCATATTATGAACTGGAAATGAGGATAAAATCTGCAATTGCTGCATATGTAACTGCACAGTTTGGGTTTTGCAGGCATTGATGCTACTGCAGAGAGCACAGGGCAGCCTACTGCATGGTTATCCACAAAAGCCTTGTCTCTGGGCTGGAACTAACTGGTGCTGATGGAGCATCACAGTTCCCTCTGGGAGATGTGGACTGCCTCCTCACTAATGGGAACTGCCACGAAACTCATTACGGAGCACAGCTCCTCCTGGACTGAGCTCAGCAGGGTTCATTTGGCTCAAAGCTAATGCTGGAGCAGCCTCTCACTCCTGCCATCTCCCTCCTGGTGTTTCCTTCCCTGGGATCTGTCACTCCTGGGTCCCTATCCGCAGACCTGAGCTCCAGTGGCAGCCGAGCTGCAGCACTCCAGCCATTGAGTGGGAGAAAAAAAAAAAAAAAACCAACCCAAAAGCAGATTTTGTGCATCCCTTGTGCAGCTGTGCTGTGTCATTGTGACTTTTTTACAAACCAGAGCCCAGAGTCAGAGCCCATGAGTGGAGCAGAAAAAAGTGTGGTCCCAGCTGCTGGGATCAGGGTGTGATGAGCCAGCAGAGGAAGCTGAATGCATTTGTCTGCCTGACTCTGGTTCTGCTGCTTCAGCTCAGCATTTCCAGAGTTTTGGGAGGTGGATTGAGGTGGATTTATTCTGCTGGTTGCTGCAGCCCTCTCGTGGTCATCCTTCTGTTGCTGGGGAAGCACAATCTGAAGTTCTGCATGGGAGGAGAGCGTCTTTTAGAAAGCAAAAGAAATAGTTATCAAACAGCATGTTCACCAAAGAATAAATATATAAACAAATGGGACACTTAGGATGCTATTTATTCCAGGTGTACAAGCAGAGTTGTTGATAAACTACTTGCTTTTGAAGAATCAAAGGAAAAATTACATATAAAGCATTGATCAGCTGTGTTTTTAATGGGGTGCCTTGTTTCATCTCCCCAGCCTGTCACTAAACAGTCTGCTTTGAAGTGCTCCTTTTTTTTTTTTTTTGAGCATTTGCACATTGATTTGCAATGGTGTGGGTAAATTTTGTGCTCACAGATGGTTTTGCTGAGTATCTGCTTATTGGAAATGTGTCTATGCAGGAAACTCCAAAGAGGGGTGGAAAACCTCTTGGGCTGGGGAAGATCTGGGCAAACCTGTATTGTGCCAATTTTCTGCAAAGACTAACAGGTAGATTTTCCTTTGAAGCTTGAAATGCAAGCCTGATTTATGGTACCTTTTATTTTTCTTCTTAATCTACCAGGTAGAGACAGAGACACCCCTGCTGATTGGAAATAAATTGTGGGAATTCACAGTGGAAGGAGAACAGTGATGGGAGCAGTGCTGAGATCCTGTCCAACAGCCCAGCTGCTCACTCCCTGCCCAGTGCTGGGAGCCAGCACCAGCAAAGGAGATGCCTGTGGAATAAACAATAGGATGGATCAAAGGGAAAAGCTTGTGCACAGGTATGGGGTACTCTGAAGGAGGTTGTCCAGTTTTGACTGATGTTTCTGGAACTGACAGCAATAGTACTTGCAGGCTAGGGTGCCTCAGTCTGACAGGGAGAATATATAATGCTGCTGGTTTCCCATTATTTTGCTCATTTTCCCCGTTACAGTAGTTTCAGGAGAAATGGCTGTGTTTCAAAAAGATATGATAAAACCCAAACCTAAAAAAACCCCAAAGGACAGAGGGGAGACACAATGACTCCAGAGGCTCATTACCTTTTCAGAGTGATGCTGTCCCTGGCAGTAACAGCATTCAGCTGGGTGGGGTGGGACACAGGATCAGCAGGACTCTGGGTGACAGTGTCCAGACACTCTTGCAAGCCAGAGTGACAAACCCATGTCCATGGGGCTGGAAGAAGCCATTTGATCCACACCACACCTCCACCTGAGCCCCTCCAGGTGCACACAGGTGTGTCCATCTCAGCGTAAGCATGGAAAACTCGGACAAAGAGATAGATGGCTTCTGTGCCTGAAGGTGTTTCCCACCTGAGCCAGGTTTTCCTCCCTTGGAGCTTTGCAATGAGGTTGCTGACACTGCAGGCAGCTTCCCCATGTCCAAGGTCTGCACTGGCATCCTGAGTGGCATCTCCCTTTGGAGCTAGCTGCCCTGGCAGCACCTCCTGCAGCCCTCTGAACAACTCAGGGCCCTTGGGAAACAGTCTTAACCTACCTATATTAACATTTTAACCACAAACACCACATTTTAGTGCTGTTGGTGCTGTTTTGCTGTGCTGCAGCAATGCTGCTCTGAGACAGCCAAGCTGCCTCCCAGGACTGCAGCACAAGGACAAGCTGCAGCTCTCTCCCAGCTTTTACACATCTTCAGGCTCATCTTTCTCACTTACAAGAAACTCTTAATGCCTCCATAAAATGGTACTTTGCATATTTTTTTGTTTTTAACTCAATGACCTCTTTGCTCTTCATTTTCTATAATATCATGTGTGCAGAACCAGATGTGACTTTTTTATTTTATATGGAGACAAACAGTAGTAAGAAAGTAACAAAATTCATGTCTGCCTGAAAGAGCACAGGGCAAGTATCATCCTGGGCTCCAAAATATTCTCCAAACAAAAAGGCTGATAAATTTTTAAGACTTGTCTATATTGTGAGACACTGAGAGACTTGGGACAGTAAATGTCTATGCCAATAAAACCCCATAAAATAGCCTAGTGCAGAGCAACTTACTGCTCAGGCCTGGGTGCAGTGACATTACCTGGATGCAAAGCAGCAGGAACATATTGCTGTTTTTTTTCTGGTGATGCCTCAGGTTTTAACTTTTATATTTTTCAGATTCTGTGCTGCTTTAGTCTGTACTTTTGATCTTCATATTAGGGGATGGTGAGCTCTCTTCATAGAGTAGGCAGACCTTCTCTAGCTGGGGACCAAGGACAAATGATCCACATCTCAGGCCCAAGAGCATAAACTATGTGGACTGAAGAGAGAAAAACAAGAAGGGTGGGACTTCATAACCAAAAGCTATAATTGAACAATTAATATGCAAATGGACCAAAACTTGTAAAAGTGTGAGACCCCTTGACTGATCGTCCATTTTGTGACCATTTTGGGTCCACCTTGGATGTACCCCTGGCTGGACTCTTGTGCTGCCCATCCATTGGGGCCTTCTAATAAATCCCTACTTTATTCTTCAGCTCTGTCTAGTCTCTGCTCTAGGTCAACCTTCACAAGGCATCAATTTCTGGCGACCCAGATGGGACAGAAGGCACCGCTGGCACACGTGGCATCAGCGGGTCTGTGCCCGGCCAGCACAGGGACTGCCACCTCCTGCCAGCTGCCCAGGCCACGCAGACTCGTCTGTGGGTGTGCAAACACGCGGCTACACCGCAGGTGGAAGTGCCAGAGAAAGCTCCGGAAGGATGCACGGCGTTAACAAACCGGTCCTGGCAGGCCGCACGGTGCTAACAAACGGTCCTGGCAGGCCACATGGCGCTAACAAACCAGTCCCGGCAGGCCGCGGGCTCTAGGACTCCACCACAATCATGCTGAGGTTGTTGCTGAAGATGACCCTGCCGTCCCTGGTGCTGCTGCACTCGGGCTGGCACAGAGCCTCCTGCAGCCGCCGCCGCAGCGCCGGCGGGGCCGTGCCCAGGAAGTTTTTTGTCCCGGTCAGGAAATCCATCATGCGGCCGCCGACCGCGTCGCCCTCGACGAAGCACTCGGTGATGTCCCAGCCCGACGGGAGCTCGTAGACGTGGTGCTGCACCCCCAGCCCCCGTAGCACCTCCGTGATGCCGCTGCAGGTGACGTAGTGGCCGCTGTCGGTGGCGGGCAGGCAGTCCCTGTGCTTCTTCCACAGGCTGGCCCAGCCGCTGCTGTCTGCCGGGACACCAGGGCAGGTTACTTTGGCAAAGCCAAGGCGGCCAACACCAGCTAATCAACTGTGAAATGAGCTGGGAAAGCTCCCTCGCTGATGGGGCAGGAGGAGAGCTTTACCCTTACTCAAGACTACTTATAAATATCTGCACCTTGTAAAACCCTTGTTTCCCTCAGCCCTCCCTCCAAAACTGCCCTGTTTAAAGGAAACTCCTAGGAGATGTCTCCTGAATTTGCCCAGAAGGAAGGGTGCACATAGAGGTACCAATGTGCTGAGCCTGAACATCCTGTGCTACCTCTTAACTGTCCCTTGGCCAAAGCAGTGCAGATGTTTTCACACATCAAACCTCAATTATAAGTGCTCATTAAACAATACATACCTCAAAAAACAGCCCCAGACAGCAAGGGAAACAGCCTAGAGACAATGTGAGAGGCAGATTTTGTGGGGAACATGGGAATTTGTGCTTTTCCACCACACTGTGAGCCAGGGATTCGTGAATGGCACAAGGGAGGAAACACTCTATTCTTTTAAGAAGTGCCATCATGTTGTGCCTCTTTTCTCCTGACCTGCCGTAAAGCCTGCAGCTCTCAGCAGCACCTGCTGTCCTTCTGGGCTCTGGGTCACTGCTGTACAAAGGTAAGACCCCTAAGGACGAGGCCACCCAGAGCTCAGGCTGTGTTTTTCCAGTGCTGATTTCACCATGAGGAGGGATGGACCCTCATTCATGGACAGCCACACTTCTCTCTACTACATCAATTCCATAAGCAGGGAAGCAAGAGCACAAAGGCTGTGCCTAAGTGGCCCCATCAGACACTGAGGCCCAAGGCTAAGCCAAAGATTGCATTCTTCATATGAAATCCAGCATTTTTAAAAGTCATTTACTACAGAATAAGCAGCACTGACATCCCCAGATAAATATTTGTGGCTCTCAAACACCAAAGACCTTCAAAACTCCAGCAATGGAGCAAAAAAATACAAGGTCTCCCTTACCTGATAAAATTATGATCAGGAGTTTACCATGATGGTCAAGGCAGCTGTGGAAAAACTTGATAGTACTGGGAATATCCTCCACACGGTACAGCATCTAGAAGAGACAGTGACACACAGCCATTATTCCTCCTCCACAGCGCAATGACCCTCCAAAGGCTTAAACCCTTTCTTTTAGAGGTGTTTTAAATTCTGTTCCAGATGCTTCCCAGACTTTCCTGATTCCACATGCCCATTTAGGGACACCTCACAGCACTGAGCATTGCCAGCTTTGGTGTTTGTAGAGCTTCTGCAGAATTGCTATGGGAGAGCAGTGCTCAGCTCTGGTCATAAATTCAAGCACACAGCAGAACTGAAGGGGGAAGTTAAATCCTATAGCCCTGTGTTAAAGAAATGTCCATTACCTGGATCATATGGATGAAGTCAAATTTCTTATGTGTGCCTCTCTCCTTCACCTGCTGTTCATACTCCAAGGAAGTGAGCTGGTGCCAAATAAAAGAAACATTCTGCAGGTCTGGAGCTTGATTCACCAGCTCTGTTTCAAAAAGCAGAAGAAAACCCTGAATTTCATAAAATAGCATAAAACCTCAGCATTCAAATGGATGGTCCTTGCTATAAGTCAGGCAGCAGGTGTAGCCTTACCTTTGTAAGCTGCCACGTGCTGTGGGTTGGGCTCCACAATCTCATTGTCGATAAAGACCCCTGGGTGCACAGCCTGCAGTATTCTGATCATTTTCAAATCCTGCTCACCTATTCAATAAACACAAATTCACTACTTTAGAAAGCAGGTAAATGCAATGGAAGGATGCCAGTGCACCAGGCACCACTCCTGCCAGGAAATCCCCCAGCAGAAGTGAGGCATGTTCTGCTTTGTGGCTCGTGTGGTGGCACAGCCTGGTGATACTCTCACCATGGTATTGTAGTGCTCAAGCTGACAGAGGGGTACAGAGGAGAGACAAACAGCAGCACAGAAACCTGCTAATGGCAATACCCTGGGTCGTGGGACAGACAGGCCAAAAGAATCACAACTCACTGTTCACAAAAATAACCATGAAACATTAGTTTTCAACAACCCCACAAAGTTTGAATGGGTGCTGGGAGGCAGCTGACAGAGCTGTATGGGGTGGCCCATGGCTCTGGGGCTGTCACAGGGACACGGTGGCTGCAGTGACACAGCCCCAAGACCTGGGGAAGTGCATCACAAGAGAAAAGACCCAGTGACACGCAGTATCCTGGATCCTCCCTCTTTGGGGATTGTCCACATGGCCTCAGCCCAGGGCATCAAATAACTGATGGCTATCTTGGAAATACAGGTAGACACTCACACATTTGTGTGGAAGTGCCCTGCAAATTTAGCTCTTGGTGCTCCTGTGCTGCTATGTAAGCTCTGGAGGAACAAGCAGAAGTCTGTCCTCCTGTTCTAGGAAATTTCCAGCCTCTCTGAGGTGATACAGGTCATGCTCCTTATTTCCCAGAAATGCCAAGTGTATGAGTCCCCCTGGAACACTTCAAACTATGTAAATAAACAGCAGATGTGACCACCTTGATGAGACCTCTGCAAGAATCCTATCTGTAGCTGATGGTCTAAAAATAGTTTTATTTTTATAAATATATATTATATAGCTTTTAGGGGCCTAAAAATAGCCCTGGCCTTGCAAATGTCACACGGGGAGGTCTTGATAGGAGATCCTGCATCCTCCCTGCTCTTTCAGCTGATGTGCCAGCCGCAGGAAGAGCTGCCATCCTTGGCAGGTGCTGCAGTACACAGACTTCAAGAAAGGAAATATCAGCCATGCCCGCACTACAGGGACATCCGAGGGAGGAGGAGTCTTTTGAAATGAGAGAAAAAATACCCCAGGCCCGTGAAGAATGCAGTGGCAGCAGGGCAGGGCCAGCCAAAGGCTCAAGGGAGGAGTCTGTGGCTGCATCCATTGAAGGTACAGGGACCAATCCTGGTGACAGGAAGGAAGATCTCAATAGCAAGCAGCTGAATCATTTGTGACAGCCCTAGATGCCACTGTGTAAGTGCCTGGTTTGGGGAGCACCAGCCCTTAGAGCTGCCTGCAGCTTTGGGGCAGGGCCAGAGGAAGAGCATCACTGCCCTGTGCCCTGGAGCCACTGATGGGGGCAAATGGGTGCATCAACAGCAGGTTGTCTTAAAAGCTGCTTAGGTTTGGAGGTTTTTTTTCACTCCACCTCTGTAAAATTCCTTAATCTAGTGTTTGTAACAGCAGGTAATAACATCTTCAACCAGGGTGTCTGTAAAAACAAGCAGTAAAATAACAGCACTCCAGGGCAGGAATTTCTCTGCTGCAGCTGGCCCTGCCAGCAACAACCCTCCAGCACTGACCACAGCAAGGCTGGGACAGGACTGGAACCTCTCTGCAACTGGAAATTTCCAGCTCAGAGTTCAACCAGCCATGAGAAAACATGGGGTGAGTGAGAAAACGTGATTTCGACCACAGCAGAGACTTCAGGATGTGGAGTCAGCTACTAATCCTCATTAATATTTTCATCAACTAAACTAATTCTGGGGGCTCTGTGAAACCAGAGTCCACCTCTGAAAAGGTCAGGGATCAGATATAACCTTTTACTTGGTGCCATCGCAGCTCACTCCATGCCCAGCCCCAAAGCTCAGTCCTTGCAGACATGGGCAAGTTGGGGGAGTGCAGGTCTGGACCCCTGTCCTGGCATCTGTGAGGGGCACTCACCCAGGAAACAGGACATTTTAGAGGGTTTATTTTCCCATTAAAACCTCCTCTGAAAAGGACATAAGGAAAATTAAGGATGATGCTAAAACTTCATTTCCCCCCTGTGCTTTTGTGGAGTCAGAATTTCTGTTTTATATTACTTAATGAAAATAGAGGGTAATTGAGAGCTGAATCATTTCTTCCTGCTTGGTTTCTCATATGCTCAACATATTCCCAGTTGGGGAAAACAATCAAATGCTAATTTTCTCTTACTCAGGAAAACAAAACCAAAAAAAGTGAGGAAAATGCTTTCATTAGAAAGTATTAGCACTTAAAATTCAGCTGAAAATACTTTTCAAAGCAGAAGTAAACTCTGACAAATCAAACCACTGCTTCTTTTCTCTACTCTTTATTTTCTCCCAGTTTCCCTAGGAGCAAAGTTGGCAGTTTCACCACTTTTTTGTTTTGTTATTTTGGCTTTTTTTAAACGCAAATGCATTTAGAACAACTTTAAAGCTATTTTTCCAAAGGATCAGTTTCTCTCTGGGGAAAAATATCATTTGCAGTTAAAGCCTACTTATCACTGGGTAAAAACACGGCAGTAACAAAGAAACATGTCTTGAAAAAGCTGATGCAAAGCTAATGGTTTTGGCCAGGTGGTTTTGCACTACTGAGAGCAGGGCACTGCCCAGCCTTGGCCTCTGGGATCCCTAAAAGCAAAGCAAAAGACACATCCCTTCAGGGGGGATAGTCTAAGGCAGGATTTTGGGTGGAAAGAACTTCTCCAATGTCTCTAATTCTCTCCAACAAAGTTTGTAGATGCTCTTGTACCAACCAGAAGGAGGAGTCCTTGCTTTGAGGCAAATAAGTCAGGTGAGAGTCACCAAGAGGCAGAAACAAAGCTAAAATCACACATTTCTCAGAAAGATCTGAGCAGCAGTGTTTCAGAAGGGAGTTGGGGAGGGAAGGAAGGGAAGGAAGGGAAGGAGCACTCCTCTTACTCTTCCTTCTGCCCTTCTGCTTCAGTGGGAAATGCTGTCATTAATCTCATTGCCCAATTTTCCAGTATCTCCTTCTGCTCCCCACAGGTCCCCCCGTGCCCCATCCCCACACTCCTCACCTGTGCCACTCCCAACTCCCAGAACGTTGAGGGTTGATTTTCCAGCGCCCAGACTGAAAGGATAAATACACATGACTTAACCACACTGTGTCACACCACTTCATGTTTTCATTCTTAACTCTTGGATGACTCGTCAGCCTGGAAATTTTCCTGTTATGCACATGAATTGGAAGAGAAATTTGATCATCCCTTCTGAGCCTGGTGATAACCAGCATGGCAGGAGCCTGCCCAGATCTGCCAGCTCATATTTCAAAGTACAGCAGGGACCACAATGCAGAGTTTCTCACCCTTTGCCAAGGAGATTTCTTTAGGCTGTGGATGGCAAAAAAAAAAAAAGCCTCTGGGAAGCCCAGGGCAAAGGGGCTGTACCTGTCTGGGATGGCACTGCTGGGGAAGCAGGGACAAGGTGAGCTGGAGAAAACCTCAGCACCCTCAGGAGGGAATATTGAGTATAAATACCCAGAAAAAGCAAAACCATTAGGCTATCCAGGTGACTGGAAATCATCTCTTATCAACATTAATCTTGGATTGAAATTGGGAGGAGGGTCTGAATCGTCAATAATTTTTACCTTAGAAAAATTGCTTATTAAAAGACTCCAGTCACGTGCTTCCTAGCAAAATATTTAATAACAGCCGAGGGATTGAGTTTCCCAAACACAGTCTCAGGAGGCACCACAGTAATGATTCCACAGGAGTGGGATGAGCAGCAAGTCCTGAAGGGTGTGAGCAAGTCCAGGGACCTTAGCCCTTTGACAAATCCAAAATCAGCATCATAGAAAGCCACAATGTTGTTCATGATTTAAATTCACAATTAAAATTTCTTAACATAATTTATTATAATAATACAATATTATTATATCATCATAATTTTTGTTGTTGTTTATTTTATATATATCTGATCTGTAGAATAAAAATTTGCCTGCCTAAACTTTTTTTCACAATGGAGAAAAATACAGTTCCTATAACATCCCAAAATTACCCAGATTTGAAAGGACTTTCTTGTGCTTTGGATCCAGGCTGTTCTGAAGCTGTCTGCAGTTATCCAGCCTTAAGATATTACATCAATACTTTACAAAACTGATTATCATTTGGTACTTAAGCAATGCAAATCGACTTAGGATAGAAATAAGAAGCTCTTAGGGGATTGGGAAAACCACAAATTAGCCACTAGGAGAGAATTAGAGATGTGTTTCTGTTTGGATGGATGTGATGAATTCCCAAAAGCAGGGAGAGAGCACAAGAGAGCTTTCTTTCAGAAAAAGAAAAAGCAAACCACCAAAAACCCCAACTTTAATCCCCGAAAAATCAGCCAATGAAAAGAGATGGACATGAGTAGGAGGTCTTGAGTCTTTCCTTAGCATAAGCTGAGAGGCAGCACAGTGTAGTAATTGAAACAGCACATACTCTGGAGTCATTAAACAGAATATCCTAAAAACCACTAGTAGGAGATTTAAAACTGAAAAGCATTTAAAGTTCATTCCTGCCCCAAAAAATCCTTAAAAGTTTTTGCTAACTCCCAGGATAACAGATGGCTTTCCCACCTTGAGGGAAGGGCTCCTTACCCAGCCATGATGTTGGGCATTTGAGTCTTGTTGAACTCATCCATGCACTGGTGCTCTGTTGAGTGGTCCAAGAATGACTTAAAGGCCTCCACATACTCCTCAGCTGTGAGGCTTCTCATGGAAGGGATCATGTAGAGCTCTTGGGAAACAATCATGGATAGCATGTTAGAGGCTTTGAGGCTTGTGAAGGGTCAAAGCACTTACCTCATGGGAGAAACCCAACCTAACCCAACAGGAGCCAGGGATCTGGGAAAACAATGCAGGGGATGCACTTTCCAACCTGTTCACACTCAGGGTTCAAAAATTATTCTTGGGCACCCTTCAACATGTTTTGTAAGTGACTCATCATTACAAGAAAATGTCTCCAAACTGTTTAGCCAGATGTGAGGCACTGTTTGCAAGGGATGGAACTGGAGGGGTTTTCTGGAGGATTAAGGAAAAGGTGAAGGGATCACACGGTGGGTCCAAACCTGTGGCCATCACTGGTGCCCATGCTGGACAGTGTGACCGAGCTGGACAGCTCTTGGCACACTTCCCAGGAGGGGTGATGCAGCATAAACCCTGCCACCTGCAGCTGAAGCAAAAATAGTCCATCCTGTGCATCTCATTTGGGACTCTCACAGCACGGGACTGAAATGGGCTGCCAGGGAGGGGAATTCCCTGCTGGGACCTGCTGCTCATGGCCAGGAGGGCAACTGATGGCAAAACATGTCACCTGGATGGGCTCATGTTGAAATGTGGGTGGCTGGCACCAAGGTCTCTCCCTCTGACCCAAAACCCAGACATACTCAAGGGGTTCTGAGCAGTTATTGCAAAGTCTCCCTTTCCTGCTGCCCCATCCTAGTGACAGGGCAGTTCACAGTGTTCACAGAAGTCACAGAATCACCAGGTTAGAAGAGACCTTCAAGATCATTGAGTCCAACCCAGCCCCAACTCCTCAAATAAACCCTGGCACCCAGTGCCACATCCAGGCTTTGTTAAACACACCCAGGGATGGTGACTCCACCACCTCCCCAGGCAGATCATTCCAGAACTTTATCACTCTTTCTGTGAAACACTTTTTCCTAACATCCAGCCTGTATTTCCCTTGACACAGCTTGAGACTGTGTCCTCTGGTTCTGTCAGTGCTGCCTGGAGAAAGAGCCCACCCCCACCTGAGCACAGCCACCTTTCAGGCCCTGGCCAGCTGCTCAGGCTGAGGAGCAATGGCAGGACTAAGAGAAGATGCCCTGCTGGGCTGGGTCTGTCTCAGACAACACTGCAGTAGGAAGGCACTGACTGTGCAGCCTCCACCTGCGAGATCAGTGCATCATTCAGTGGGGAAAAAATCAGCTATTCCTCTTAAATTAAATGAGGATGAAGGACAGGACTTGGCAGAACATATTCATCCTCATTTTTGCCTTTCAAAGAGTTGCATTTTTATCACCACTAATAAAAGAACCATGTATGTCTCAGGACACTGCAATCTCAAATTGAATACCTCTGCTGTTTCCAAAACCATGTCTTTGGCAGCTGTGTTCCTGGTCCAGCCCTATTGGAGGTAAAGACATCAATATCTATCCTCAACACTTTGAACTCTACCCTAACATAAACCTGAAATCACCTGAATTGCAGTCAGTTTACCATCCTGTTTCTTTGTCTATTTTATTTTTTAGCAATCTCTAATTCCAAAATAATTAAAACATGCTTGTAGTGATAGCAATCTGAGTGGGAATTTTACTTTAATTTATTTTCTTCTTTTTTTTCTCCCAAATACCTGAATTATCGTGTGGTGCTGTCAGAATCTCTGCTTCAAAGTTCATGCTGGGGAAACTATTCCTGTAAGGAAAGTATAGCACTTCAGTTATTTGAAGAACCTGTATGCTTTCTTGAAGCTGCACTGAAAAGGCAGAACAAAGGGACGATGCTCCAGGACAAACTTTCCCCTGCTGATAATCCGTAATTTATTTTGTTCTTTTTTACTAGATAAAGCCAAAATTCCTTTGTAGCTGATCATAGCCATAGAATCCTAGAGTCAATAGAACAGTTTGGGTTGGAAAGGACCTCAAAGCTCATCTTGTTCCATCACCTGCCATGGGCAGGGACACCTTCCACTATCCCAGGTTTCTCCAAGCCCTGTCCAAGCTGGCCTTGGACACTTCCAGGGATGGGGCATCCACAACTGGCCACTGCTCCAGTGTTTGAGATGTGCTGTGGGAGTTCTGCAGAACCATTAACCAGTCATTGCAACTGAAGGCATCAGACTGACATTTTCCTTTCTTCATTTTCCTTGGACAATGCGCCTCATACATAAAACAGGGGTGAGGTGCCACTGGAAAAGGAAAGGGATGCATTTAGATTGGAGCAAGGACCTCACTTCTGCAAAGACAGGCTTGGGATGAGGCTGTCTGTGCAAAGGGAAGAGTCCCCTCCTGGGTAACCACATTTCAGTATTGAGATGCACAGCAAGTCTTAGGGGTGATATCCTGTGCAATGTGTTTAGACACACCAAGGCTTTGCAGTTAGAAAATGCCTCAGGGCAAGCAGTCTGACACAGCAGACCCCAGCCCAACAGTCTCCTCTGCCAAGGAAAAAAATCCCAAATGAAGGAAAAAACAAGGCAGGAGGTGTAACACTAAAGAAGGGAGTTTGTAGCGGGGCTTTGAGATACAAATGTGTAGGGACCATGCTGGCCATGTGACAAGGATGTGTCCACATGCAAATACTGCACTGCTTTGATCAAGGAAGGCAAGAAAATACTGGGAGGTCCTGGAAGTCTCAGAAACCCTGGGGCACTTCCAGAGTCCTGCAAGAGCAGCTGATTTCATCTGAGTTCAGTGCCAAAGTCGTGTAACTCATGTCCATGGAGCATGTCAAAGGTCTCTCTTCCACCACCTTGACCTCACCTCTCCCCAGGAAAGACCTCTCAGAAGAAGCCAGAGCTCAGCCCACCTCCATAATCTCCAGCTTGGCTGCAGGCCAGTCCCTCCAATTTCTGCTCAACCCTCCAATCTCTTCCATCTCTGCCCATCAAAACCCCCAGAGGGTTATTTTGTCCCCTCAGCTGGGTGAACCCAGCAAGGTGCTTTTCAGAGCAAATCTCCCACTAAAATGCTGCAGGGTAGCATGGCTTTTCCTGTGCAGGGAGGTACAGCTTTGGACATGAATTCCATTTCTGACAGGTCAAGTGTTTCCAGCCATGCCACGAGACCTGCCAGGAGACCTGGACAGACTTCAGCACAAGCATTCACCAGCACAAATGATGCCAAGATCTCTTCCACTGACACTTTTGCCTTTTCTCCTGGCAGGGGTTAGAATCTGAGACTGATTAACACTTGTTGCTGGGAAGGCGAAACAGGAACAAACAAACTTCCACTAAAATCTGGTTAAAATCCAGACCAGATTCTAAAATTTGCAAACAGCATTTTGGGCTGGTCCTGCCCAAGCCAACAGCAGGACTGAGGCAGGGACTGCCAGGGAGCAGGATGCCCGTGGTTGCCACAGCTCCCAGCTAAGACTGAGCTTGCAAGGTTAAACCTCTTCCCTCCATGAGCAAAGCTGGGTGCAACATGGACAGCAGCCACAGGGAAGTCACATTAGAACTTTAGGTGATGCTAAAAGTTTTTTTATGCTGAAAAAGTTTTCTCTACGAAGACAATTTGCAATAATATCTTCATAACTCATAAACTTCATTATTCCTGAACTTGGGCTGTGGAGGGGCTAAAGTTCTCCCCCTTAGCCCGCATCCTTGGCAGGACAGGGGCACATCTGCTGCTCCTCCCAGCAGGAGGGGAAGGACCGAAGCAGCATCCATCCCTCCCTCCCCTGCCAAAGCCCGCGTACCCCTTCAGCTGCGGGCCGGGCTCCATCGCGGGGTGTGACACGGGTCCCGGTGCTCCTGCGGGTCCCCTCCAGCCCGGAGCCGGCAGCGGGTCCCCTCCAGCCCGGAGCCGGCAGCGGGTCCCCTCCAGCCCGGAGCCGGAGCTCAGCGCGTCCCGCCGGCCCCGCTCGGCCCCGCTCGGCCCCGCTCGGCCCCGCTCGGCCCCGCTCGGCCCCGCTCGGCCCCGCTCGGCGCTGCGGGAAACCCGAGCCGCGGGCCGGAGCGGGAGCCGGGCGGGCGGGGAGCGCAAAGGGAGCGCTGGGCACTGCCAGCCCTCGGAGCCTGAGTGGCAGCGGCAGACCGGGGCTGTCCCCTCTTTCTCATGTGCTGTGAGCCTTATCCCGCCTTCCTGGGCAGCAGGGAACGCTTTCCCGCATCCTGGCCGCGCTGCTGTGGGATGGACGGGGATGCGCTGGGTGATCCCTGCCTTCCCCAGGGATCGGAAGAGCTCCTTGGCTGCCCGCAGACCTGAGCAAGCGATTTTTCCGTCTGTGACTCAGGGGGAAATGGGGCATAGCGGCAGAACCTCCAGCCTGGCATCCCCTACCCTGCCAGGACAGGGCAGCGAGCCCAGCCTGCTCTCGCTCTGCTTGCTAAACCACAGGGATTGGAAAGCAAAGAAACATTTCAGGGGACAGGGGAGAGGTGGCTCGAGGTCCCCACGAAGGTGCAGTGGTCGCTGTTTGAAATACAGAAAATCCTGGGTGCTCCCCGCACTTGCCTCTGGATTTTTCCCCTATCCTCACCCACAGGACTAGTGCTCCTTTTGCCTAAAATCTAATAACACAAATGTAAAAAAGAAAGGATTTAAAGACTTTATACTTCCAAGTGCGGTCCACTGCTGGGAAGAGCAGCATTAAAATCCTCATCACTCCCATTCAGTGAAGACAATGGGTAGAACAGATTGAGCAGATAAAACCTCCCACCTTACTGAGATCCCCAGAAAACTTCCTGTCCTTCATAGATCCCCTAGACCAGGTGGAGACGTTTCACCATCTGAGTGACCTGCCTTGGTTTGCACTAGATTTGGCTTCCAGATGGATTTAAGTTACCCACCTCAAGGGAGGTCCACAGCAGCAGATTAAGCCAGAAACAACCGCATTGCTACTCTTCAACAAAACATTCAATATATTCCAGGTGAGGGAAGACCAGAACCTCTTTGCTAGGTCTCAAGGTGCACCTTTGGCTCCTGCTGCCGTGTGACCACCTGGGAGTGATCTTACATCAGTTCATTCAGCCCCTCAGCAGTCCCACCAGAGATGCCATCCCAGACACCAACCATGGAGCATCCCAGCCTCGTGTCCCCCAGCCACCTCTGCCTTGACCCAGTGTCACTATGACACCAGCTAATCCAGCCCTCAACCCCCCATGCCAAAAGCAGGGGTGGGCACCCTGCAGGAAGCCATACCTGCCCGGAGCTGTCGAGAAACCTCCAGCAGCCTGGAGCTGCAAACCTTGGGAGCCTCCTTGTACATCCACGGGGCGCTGCTCCCCCTCCCGTGTCCCTGTGCCCCCCCGGCCCAAGCCGGTGTTAGCTTCCAACAGCAGCCTTTGTTCTGCAGGGCTGGGAACAAGGGGACATTGTGGGCAGCTGCGGGGCTGGCAGGCCTGGCTGTGCAGGATGTGCCCTCTGCCAGCCGTGTTTTCGGTCCTTCTGGCCAGCTCGTGACTCAATCCGCTCAGAACCCTGTTTTCCTGCGAGCTGGAAAAGCTGATTTTTGGTCAGCCAGAGGATGGCTGAAGCAGAGCTGGGCTGCAAGGAGAGGAAAACAAAGCGGCTGTGTTTGCTCCTCTGCAGCTCAGGAGGTCACTTTTGGGCTGATCCTGCAGAAATAGGTCATCCTCTCTCCCGGGACAAACCTGGCTGAGGCTGGGGCTGCCCATGGCCCCAAGCCCCTCTCATTTGCCATTTCTAACAGCCTGCCACAACAAGCTTGGACCTGCACCTCCAGGCAGGAAAGCCTGGGTACTGACATCAAATTTCAATGAATTTACCTTCTAAATAGCAATCAGATGGTTGTAAGGAAGGTCCTTGGCATTTTTAGAGTGTTGATGGCAGAAGATTTAGGACTAAATGGTTTTTAAGGTCCCTTCCAACCCAAACCAGTGTATGATTCCATGTTTACTGGTTTTTTTTTTTTTGAGAATTTTCCAAATCCACCTAGAACAGTCGATTAAAGCTCAGGTAATGTAACTCTGATTTTCTTGTGAGCAAAGCTCTTCTGTAGCAGTTTCCTGTTTTAATAAAAATGTTTTCATCAGTTAGATACTTTCCATTTTCTAGACTAATCTTCTCAAGTACTGTAGTTTCTGTACTCCCCTAGGTGAAATATTTCATGCAAACATGTTATTCTCCATCAAGCAAATACTGGTACAGAGAAGGATAACCAGCAATTTTGTAGCACCCATTTTCCTGATAGTTAACAACAAGATTTCTCATTAAGGGAAAAAATTTTGTTTTCCTTTAATCCTTTAATCCTGGGCAGTAGTGGATTTTGGAGGTTGAGCAGCGGTATTTTTTAAAATATATTTATATAGGATATTTTCCTATGGGAAAAAGAACATAATTTCTGATAAATATTGAAAAAAAAAAAAGGCACTGCAGAAGCAGAACTCATCCCCCTCTGGGGGCAGCAGCCCTCACTGCTGCTGAGCTCCAGACATGTTCAACCTCGCAAGAAACCTGAAGTATCTATGTCTTGGAGTTTTTTGTTGGGTTTTTGTTTTGTTTTGGTTTGGTTTTTTTACACAGCTTTTCCTCCCTTTTTTTAAAAGCCTGGATCCTGGTACAGCTCTTCCAGACCTTTTGAAATGACCCTTTCCAACCTGTTTGACTTAACTGTCCTAACTCATGTAGCTGTAATTACAGAGCCAAGGTGAGGGCAGAGGGAAAGTCCGATGTGGCTGCCTGCAAAAAAGGCTCTTTGATTCAAGGTGAAGACCAGATTTGCTCTTCAACCCACCCATTCAAAAAAGAATGGCTCTGAGAGCAAAGACAGATATGGTAAAACGTGCCTTTTACCCCTAAAAACTCACACGTCTTCAGGCATGAAAACACACTTGGAATTTAAATTTCTCTGGCTGTACCTGTGCTGCTGCCAGTAGCATGTGCTGGGAGTCCAACATGAGCAGGATTAAACACATCCAATGGGAACAGCACTCCAAAACAGGGGTACCTGCAAATCCTGCTGTACCAAAACATGTGTAATTGCCAACAAAAGAGATTTTGTCCCTAGCTCAAAGTTAGCAGTGCAAATAGTAAGGCTGGAGACTGGTCCCTGAGAGGTTTTTGTGGTTCAAGAGGATGAATTGACAGGAAATTAAGGATCAGAATTTAGATTATTTTTACTCACCTGCTGTTAAAGCAAGGCTGAGTCCAGCCATCACACCACATCTGAACTGAAGGGATCTGAATGCTCTGAGCAGCCAAAGCATCCCAGGAAAAGCCACTCTACCAGGCAAAAATATGTTACAAAATTGGAATATCTCTCAGAATGTACATAGGCTGATGAGCCACATTTCCGTGGGTAAGCAGAGAAAAGCAGTGGAACAGTGGGCATGAGCCCAGTGGGGGATGCTCACCTTTCACAGACTTAGAAAGAGAAACCTCAGCTAAATTCACTCTTCTTTGACAGTGGGTCAAAGCTTCTTTTCCATTGGCAATAGGTTCTGCATCTCTCAAACCCTGAGGAGCATTTACGAAAACAGATCAAATGCAGCAGCTTTGGCAAATCGAGTTTAGCATATCTGTCATCCAGCAGATTGCAGGAGAGCATGTCCCAGCCAGGCACCACAGATTTATTTTACCAAAAGCCACTAGATGGGGATACAAGGACACTTTTCTGCTCTCTGCTATGCCTCTATCCCATCACCTTGAGCTCGAACTGGCCTTTCCCACTCACAGGGGCTGCTGTTGTCTTTCCTTTTTCTCTTTAGGAGCTGACAGAGGTCATTTGGAAACTTATCACTCTCCGAGTTCTCATCCTGCAGGGATCAGGCCTCAGGCAGTAGTTGCGGTGCGATTGCTTCTTGCTGAATATTATTCCCTGCACCAAGGCTTAGGAAGAGTAAAAGGTTTGCCTTTCAGTTTGTGGATTAGTCTTCTTTTATAGGCTGTGGAAAGAAAAGGCACTTGAGATTGAACACAGGGGAGAAAATGGCATTCAGCAAACTGGTAATCTCTGAAAATGTCCATACTTTGGAGCAGTTACTGTGAGTAAAAGCCAGGAGATTTCCTTGGACTCAGTAGTCAAACCTCTGGGTAATTTTTTCTTTCTTTGTTTCTCCTCTTTTGAAATCCACAGTTGTCCTAAGAATAAGCAAGACGAAATCAGGAGAATTGGTTTGGCAGAGGCAAAGGCAGGATCAGCCCTGCTCTGCAGGGCAGGAGCACTCCACAGAGGTGCCCCAGGAGCACATTTAGGCTGCAGGAGTCTGTGCAATGCATCAGAAATGCTGTGGGAGTGAGGAGGGCTCCAGTCCTACAGAAATTGTCAGCTCTGACCTCCAGTCACCTTGGCCTTCTGCAATGAGCACCCACTCTTACTATTTTATCTCAAGTGTCAGGATAGTTGGGGCTTATATTGATTCCCAGCTCCTGAAGTCAGATGAAATGGGAAAAAAAATCTGTCCTAGCGAATATTTAACAGCAAAATTCCAGCTTTTAGAGGATGCTAAGGTACCCAAAATGTACTCCAGGCTTCAAACCACAAAAAATGCTTTGAAAGAAATCCAAAAATTGATTAATTTCAGAGCAATTTCATGAATTGAAAATTCAGTGGTTGGCAGGGAGGGCAAGTGGGTGTCAGGATGTCTTCGGGAGTCTGAAAAAAAGTCTCTGGTAAATGCCCTGAAAGCAAATTAATCCTATATCATAGCAATCAATTCAGAAAATTGGGAGATCAATTAAAATAGTACCAAAATAAGTGTCTTTCCTACTCCATATGCTCAAAATATGGAGCTAATGCTGCCAGTTCATGGCAATCAGTGTCTTAAGGGTTGGAGAACAGAAGCACTGGGGACTGTTCGGTGTTTTCAGCTGCATCTCCACTAATTGCTAAAACCAGATTGTTCTACTTCATTAAGCACGAACAGAAGGGCAGCTGCTTTTCCTGGGCCAGAGGGTGAGGAGGTTGC